CAGCTCAGCCAAATATCTAGGCTTGATACTAGATAGGAAGCTGGACTGGAACTTGAACATTGAAGACAGAGTGCGGAAAGCCACAATCGCACTCTATACCTGCAGAAAATCCATTGGACTGAAATGGGGCATGGCCCCCCATGTGGTCCACTGGCTATATACTGCAATAATCAGACCCATACTTTTATATGGTGTCTCCATATGGTGGCCATCCCTTTCGAAAAACTCATCTCTTCAGAGACTTAACAAAGTTCAGCGACAGGCTGAACTAACGATCTCGGGCGCTTTACGCACTACTCCAAATGATGCACTAGATGCAATTCTGGGAATACTCCCAATACATCTCATGGGAAAAATGAACGCCACGCTGGCGGCTCTTCGCATGAGAGAAACAAACCAGTGGTCAGAGGAATGCTTTGGTCATGCCAAAATTCTGAAGGGAAATGACAACATCCCATCAGTCACTGACCACTGCATCGCAGAAGAGTATCCACATACTCCTTTCCACACCATCATTCCCTCTAGGGAAGATTGGAACTTCGGCCCGCCAGGCCCAACCAATTCCATCAAAATATATACAGACGGTTCTAAGCTGGACAACCGCGTAGGCGGGGGTGTCTTCTGCGAAGAACTCGGAATCAGAAAAGCCTTCAGGCTACCGGATCACTGCAGTGTGTTCCAGGCGGAAGTAATAGCCATTCAAGAAGCTCTTCTCATACTGCCAAGCCCAGCCACACATACCAGAGAAATCTGCATTTACTCGGATAGCCAAGCGGCTATAAAATCCCTTAACGCCATCACGTCGAACTCGACGTCAGTACAGAACTGTCGCAAATCTCTTCACGAGATGGCAACACAGCTCTCTATATACCTCATTTGGGTCCCAGGCCATAGGGATATCGAGGGAAACTGCATAGCCGATGAGCTGGCAAGACACGGTACTACCGCCTCCCTCCTCCCAGACAAGGAGAGCGTCGGTACACCGATGGCCAGCTGTAAACTGTCAGTCCGAAACCACTTTGACTTGGTCGCCAATCAAATGTGGACCACCGACACAGACTCCTGTAAAATCACACGCCAAACATGGCCAATCCTCAACAAGAGACGATCTTCTGAACTCTGCAAACTGAGCAGAAGCCAATGCTCAGTCGTAATCAGAGCCATCACAGGGCACTGGCTGGTGGGCACCCATGCCGCCAGACTAGGGCTCCACCATAACGATTTCTGCAGAAGCTGCAGAGACGTGGAAGAGGAGGAAACGGTAACACACCTCTTCTGCGACTGCCCGGCCTTGTCAAGAACAAGACATCGATTCTTAGGAGACAGTCTCCTACCAAATCTATCGGCACTAGCAAACAAGAAGCCGATAGACATCTTCAAGTTCATCCAGGCAGCTGGATGGACGTAATATTCGCGCAGACATGCAGCCAAACACGGGTATTTTGGGAAGTGGACTTGTCCATGCGGTATCACAACGGGCCAATCTACAAGGCCTAAGTGAGTCGGGGTGCATACCCTGGCTGCCGCTCCGACCTACCTACCTATCTCTTCTCTTTCAAATGTTTTTTTATGCATTTGCTTGGTAAAGAATTTATTAAATTTTAGCCGCGTAACTGGAGAGCTGGCAAGGTACCTTCCGGTTAATTCCCCAAACCTCTACGCTGCTTACTGAAATTATAAAGACCAAGGTCATATCTTCGCCACATTTTGCAAATGTCCGAAAGAAAAGCGTAAACTTTAAGCACACAAAGGCGAGAACAACAACAACAGTTGCCACAGAAGGGCAACTTTTTCCACTTTGTGCTCCTGCTGTTGCTTCTGCCACTGACATTTTCCCAGAGCGAGCAGCACACGCGACCAGTTAGGGATACCATTTGGTCGATGCTGTCGTCCTGGTGACCAAACAAAAATGTTGGCCAAAAAGAGAATTTAAAGCAGCAGAACTGGGCGAAATGTTGAAAAAGTTTTTGGCTCCCTAATGAGTGTACGCCGCACTGTGCCATTGATTAGAAAAAGGGCGTCGATTTTTACTTATATATTTCTTTTTATTTTTTACCAGCACTCATGTCAAAAGCAACGTGCAACGTACATAAAGAAAAGATATTTTGGCCATGTATTTTATGGCATGTTTTCTATATGCACGACAACAAAAAATTCAAATTCAATTGACTAAGAGTTACGGGTATCTGGGTGCCCAAGGCGCTAGTCGTAAGAAATTCGAGGAACGGGCAGTCTGCCGTATCACGTCCCATATGCGCTATTCGCTGCTCATTTTTTGTGAGTCGAAAGGAAATTTATTTATATTCAATTTTAGATTTTTTTTATGGCATATATATTTGCCAGTCAAGCGAATAGGTACGTGCCTACTGAACATCCATATATACATATTCGTATGAATGTGCGCACATTAGAGTTGCATGTTCGATTTATTAAACCAGATATTTAGTTCATCTGCTGCCTGAAAGCTTTTTTTATTAAACAATCAGTTGAACACCTTTGAGTTGAGCACAGAACCGATATCTGACGCTATCAGTTTGACAAAATTTTACCAAATAAACCACCAACTCTGACACACCTGAGTAGTAGAGATCAGATGCTATCCTTGAAGTTGTAGGCATTATAAAACTGGTAGCAAGTATTGATGTTATTCGCCCAATTTACTTTGATGAATGATGTGTGAATGAAGCAGCCAAATATGCAAAATATTGTCAACATTCTACAAAAGACTTGTGAAGAAAACACTTGCCAGCAAGTAAAGCAAGGTCAGGCGTAAGTCAGGATGTGTACGACTACCATTACAATAATTTAAGAATTGGTAATAACCTTTCAGATCTTGAGCTTGCCTCTCTACGAATGTAATCTAATTGCAACCAAAAAATTTTCAAAATTGGGAATCCTGACAGTTTTTGAATTTGTGGATAAGCTATAATTGATTTTAGAAATGCTGTATCCTCTCTACGGATCATGAAGCCATAAAAGAAATATTTGAATCGCAGACAAACAGAAGTGCTTGTGTGAAGTCTTTATTACTTTACTAGAAACTAAAGTTACTATAAGTGCCCAGGGCTCCAGGGCATTTGACAGAATCTTGGAGGAGAACAGTACAGAAAAAGACAGGCAACCATTTAACCGACCAGATATTACTACCACGGAATTAAGATAGGTGGAAAACTCTTATTGAATATTTATACACTTCTTTCAAAATGATCCAATTTTTCTCAACGATATATGTAAAATAAAAACTAAACGCAGACTCCAGCCCTTCATTCTTCACAAAATGTATTGTATTACCAAAAAGCTGACCTTGGTTGCATTTAGAGATAAAGGAAAACAAACAAAACATCATCAACGTCATCATATTGCCGATTATTGATTTTTTTATTGTAAAATACAATTTTGTTCAAATAATCCCCTTCATTATAAGCCATAATTTATTTAAAAGAAATGTAAACTTGTTTTCTGTTACCACAACATTCTTCTCGATTGTTAAGTCAAAAAGATGATCGAAGTAGTCGAAGAAAATTCGAAATGTAAGGCTAATTTTTTAATATCTCTCAAATACCTAATTATCCGAAAAAGTTCTTTCGAAATGAGCACAGATGATGTTTGTATTCTTCAATGTTGCGGCTGCTGTACTATGCGAAAATGGAGTCTTGCTGCGGCCATTGTCTTACTTATATACTCAGGACTGTACATCTTGTACATACCAATTTATCGTAAGGTATATTTGGTAGTCCATATCTCTCTCAACTAACTAACTAATCCATTTAAGTTAGCCTAGATGTGAAGATAGGCTTGATTGGATACGTTTTTGGTTGCTCGGCACCGATTATATTATTAGCCGCATTGTGTCTACTCTACGGAGCTATAAAGGTATTGGTGTCTTAAAGTAATCATTTCGTCTTTCATTTTCAACTTTCTTCTTGCATTTCTTTAATCTGCAGGAAAAACGTAGATTTGTGTTGATCTTTCTCTTCATTTACGCTCCTTGTGTCCTTTGTTTGTTAGTGTTCTCTGTGTGGTATTTCTATATGTACAGCTCTGGCGCAGTAAGTTCTATTAGCGGCATGCCGGAGAGCCTGTTCTGTTCCAGTAAGTTTTGCTAAAATTGACTGCTCGACATAATATTGACTTGGTCTTCTTTAAGTACTTATGTTGGTTGCCATATGGATTGCGTATTCTTATAGCAGATTTTTACGTATTAATGAACGCAACTTAACGCTTTCATTATGATTTGTTTATTCTATTTTGCTTTAAATGAATGTCTATGATCCGAGCAGAAAACTTTCCACTGGTATGTAGACTATCAATATTACATTTTAATGCAGAAATTGCTACGCTTAGCAATATACTTAGTATTCTTAAATCGTTTTTATTTTAATTATATTAACTGGTATTCCTCTACTCCTCTATTAGTTGGCAATAACTTGACAATGTTGCAACAACTTTAATGTTGATGACAAAAATATTCGAAACAATCTTGAGCAACAATTCTTATAATAACTTGTAGACAATTGAAATAATAATGTGTTTTGAAGCAGAGAGATCGCTTTATATATAGACACATTGTACGCAAGGGTGAGTTTTTCGTGAAAAGAACCCAAGTGCCGACTGGCTTTTAGGACTGTCGACATAAAGCAATTGCCAGTTAATTTTTTTCCACAAAAATCATAAACGCATTTGCGAGTAAACAAAATTTCCGTCTGCTGGCTTGCTGGAGAGCATTACCTAATCTAAAGGACTAGCCAGCTGAGGATGTCGAGCCGTACCTACAGCGTGCTCTGAGTACAGCCTGCACCTTACCTACTCCAATTGACCTGCCCAAGCCCAAGCTCAAGTCGTGTCCAGACTGTCGATGGTTAAACCGTGACTACCTACATAAGTAAATGGCTAGGTAGAAGCGTTTATTCGTATATATGGGCGAGGCAATGCCTCTTCGTTCACTCAGTCGCTGTGCCACAGTCGAAGAGGCACAACCGGAGCAACAGCAAACACCGCCACCAGTCGCCTTTACGCAGCACGTACTGTGATAGCTCAGGTCGAGCCCAGTGCACGTTCTGCGAACGCACATATTGCCAGCATTGGAGAAAGCGACACTAACGTCGTCGTCGTCGTCATCGCAATGTTGTTCTTGGCACCCCGCAAGCATCTCTTTGCCACCAATCTGATCATCTTGCTAATGATCTATGTGATGCGCAAGTGCCTCCAACTATTCTGCATCATTGAGAACCGGGCTTGTAATAATGAGGAGTGCTCGCCGCAAAGTCGCTGCGAGCAGCCGGATTGCCCGGGAACGCCGCCGGATTCCCCGCTTCCGCAACGGGGTGGCTTCAAACTCATACCGGACGCCATGCGTAAGACCATGCATGGCTTTGGCTATGGCGAGGGACACTTCCAGATCTTTGTGGAGAAGAAGGAGCGAAATTTGCCCACCAAGTCGCGCTTAAATGCGGCCACCGCCGAAGTGAAGCTCAATCCCAATTAGAGGAAGCCAGCACATTTGCTCAACACGCTTTTTGGCAGCCATGGACAATAAGCCGCTGGCTTTACTGCGACGGCATCATCGAGACAAGGACAACTACTAACTGCTACTAAAAGGAAATATATTTTTTATTAACTACGATACAATTCTAATTCTTCCATTTTTTAATTAATCATTAAAGTTTTTAATACAAATACCATACATACATTTTATTATATCGAAAGTACATTTTGGCCATCAATAAAATTTATAAAAATATATCTGTGCAGCCACAGGCACTTCTGATTGATGTTCAAGCACTGCTGCTCCTCCTGGTCCTGCCCCGCTTGGTCCTTTTTCGGTGTGGGACAAAAAGAGAAAAATGTGTCAGCGTTAGCGCCAAAACGATCGGCAACTTTTCGAGACACACACGCAACTCACATTTGTGTGTGTGTGTGTGTGTGTGTGTGTGTGTGTGTGTGTGTGTGGGCGAGTGTTGTGTGGGAGGCTGCCTAGAGTTTTCCTCGATGTCAGTGCTTTATTGTCTTGCCAGAAATGGCACAAAGAAATAAAAAGACAGTTAAGTGGCTCAGCTGCTGGCGGCTGCCGTTTGAAAAATTATCTCAGCAATTGTGTGTCATGCAAGCGGCTGATCGTTTGGGTGTGTGTGTGTGTGTGCTTATTGCGGTTCAGCCTGCAGCATGGAATGTCGCTAAATTTATCACAAAGTGGCAAACCCTCACACACACTTACATACTCGTACACATGTACGTCAACAATGTCAGACACTCTGCTGCCAAATTCAAAATACTCTTGCCAGTTGAAAATAGTCTGCCGCTTTTCTCATGCAGCTTACTTGGCGTGAATTAAACGCAGCTTTTTCTTTTTCCATACAATCAAATGCTAGAAAATAGTTGAGAATATAGAAATAATTGAATAATATATATGTATGTTTTCTTTTTAACATTTTGGTTCGTGGTTTTACAGGCAAAGAATTTAATTTTGTAAAATTAATATTGGTTATATACTTACTTATGGTATATGTATACTTTGTTTTCAAGATACCTCCTTTGAGAGATGATCTGTAGACTTCTGCTTGTCATGGACAAACATGAAGTTTGGCTATCATCAAAAACTTCCATGTACACAAAATATAGTATTCATCCGAACAATATATATAAAATCATTTGTTTTAGTAAAATCCATATTAGGAATAAATATTAAACAAAAAGATACCTAGAACCACATTAATTGCGAGATGTCAGCTAAGCAATTTCTACTCCCTCCTCTGCAAAGTGTTTAGGTCTGTAATACACACATGTGATGATCCAAATCGCGATGTTCTCCTAACCATCCATCAACATATTTGTTTATTCCATACATTACTTCTGTAGAACAATAAGACGGCACGGTTGCTGTTGTGTATTTTGTTCGCCTCCTATGATTCTAAAGGAATCTAGTTTTTTTCTAAAAAAATTAAGAATTTATAAAATGTACACTCACTTTTTTGTGGTTAGAACTCTTAGGTGATATGTAATTGGATTGAAAAATGTGTACGTCTTCGCTTATGTAGAGTAAGAGTGTAATCTGTGGCTTGCATCCATTGTACTTCGCTCCTCGCTATTCTGCTCTGCTCTACCATGCGTCATGGCAGACAGGCGGGCAGACTTAGATAAGATAAGCAGGAGAGCGCGCACGTGCTGCTTTAGCGCAGCAATTGTTCGCAAATCTATCATCATCATCTTCAAGCGTGTGGCAGCAGCAACAGCGCACGCTTACAGCTGCAGTTCTATGAATTCTTGTGCGTGTGCATGTATGGATGTGTGTCTATGTGTGTGAGTGCTGTACATAGAGAGCGTCTATTATTGCCGACGTTGAAACTCAAGGCTAAATAAGTATGTTTGCAGACAATGCGCAAATTCTCCGACATTTTGCATTTCGCTATAAATGAATGCAAATTTTTATGCAAAAAATAAACCAAAAAAGAAATGCTTTTGTTGCATTTCGCTCGACTTGCATATAAATTATGTACACTAATACATATAAGAACGTGGATATAGTAAATATATCCCTTAATAGTTCCGTCCTATTAGTGAGAACACAACTGCTCCCATCATTCTCATCATTTCGCTCACTGCTGCTTCCGTTATTTGGTACTGAAGCTGTCATTATTGTCGTGATTTTGTGTGAACATATATGTATGCATTATTATTGCTGTAATTCTAATTATGCTTGCAGCATTTTGCTGAAATAGCATAAAATGCTAAGCTAAAATGTAAATCATGTCACCATTGTTGGGCTTAAGCGCAGCCAAGTTCGGACTCATTATAATTAACAATTTATAAAGCGTTAATCCACAGCTATGCACACAAACACACACACCCTCACATACACGCTTACAAGCTTGTACACCCACAACTGCAGAGCAATTTGCCAGGCAGCCAAAAGAGCATGTTCAGCAACACAATACAGCAACGGAGTCCACACAGCCAAACAAACAAACAAACATGCAAGCAAGAAGGTGGGAAGGCGGGAAGGCGGTAAGGAGGTGGCAAGGCGAGGCAGTCAGCCAGCTAGGCGGCAAGCAGGAGCAGCCATTTACTTGTAAGCTTCCGCAGTACGTGCCACTGCTGTTACTACTGTCCTTCTCCTCCTCCTCCTCCTCCTCCTCCTCCAGTCTCCGCAATCCGTCCCACCCACCACTCATCGCCACTAACAACAGAACACAGCACGTCGCTCGCATTAAGAAGATGAGCTGCATTTTTCATGCATGCGAAGTTGAGATTGCAGCACACGCCCCTTGCCCAACATACACACACACACACACACCTCTCTCTCTCTGTCTCTGTCTCATTCACCCACACAGAGCCACACGCGTTCCATTTTAGCTTTTGCTGGCTTTTGTGCTTGCCAGCTAGCTAGCCAGTCAGCCAACCAGCTTTAGCATTGGCTTTCCTCTCTCATCCTCACTTCGACTGCTTCTTCTGCATTATCATGCTCATCAGCGTCATTTGTATTAATTGCCGAGCATTTTGTTGCGCAATGATACCGAAAATGAGCGTGTTGTTTTTACCACGTTCTTCCTTAATTTTCAGTTGTCGTTCTGTTTCGCAAAAAAATACCATCATTACACGCTGTTATCCTTTAAATCGTTAAATGTGCTTGCTGCCTTCATTTTCTACAATACGTGTTTGTGTCATAATAGGAAGGAAGCAAGGAAGGAAGGCTTCTGCTTCGACGACCCCTCCAATATATTTACGAAATATGAACTAACTGGGGAGAAATGCATTTTAAGGAAGCAGTTAATCATTAACTAACTAGGGAAAATGCATTTTAAAGAAGCAGTTAATCATAAGTGAACAGAAATAAAGGAGGGTGGCAAGTGCAGAGGCGAAAAACTCAGCCAGTACTGATTTCCGACAAACACAATTTCAGTAAAACTACTTCACTTTTCGCTAACACTTTTAAACTTAACTTTTGGTATAACTTTGAAGAATAAGCAATAAGAAACTAATCGATTGAAAAATAAGTTCCTCTGTAAGATTAAAATACCGTAAATCCATCTATTACTCTAGTCATAATATCTGTATCTTTATATCTATAATTATTACTAATCTCTCTTGGTTATAAAAAGGCATAAAATAAATAAATATACAAGTAATAATAAAATAAATAAATTACTTCTTAAAAATGCTTTATTTTAATTCCACTCAGACAACACAAAATTCCTTTTTATAGACCGGGCTCAAAACAAGATGGATAGCTATTTGGTTCCAAGAAAAATATAATTGTTCATATAAATATATATTTATTGATACTTTGGTAACCTTTGAGCGCTTATTTATTAGATGTGGATACGTTCTATATTTCGAAGATCGATCTTTTCAGTCTTAGCATAAAAAAACCAATTAGCCGAAATTCGAATTTAAAAAGGGTAATTTTGTTACTTATTTCTACAAACATAACTTTTTTCTTGGAACCCAATAGCTATCTATCTTTTTTATATATATATTTCCTATGACTTAAGAGTGCAATTTAACAGCAAAAATCATTAAAAAAAATATTCATTCATTTGAGATATTTCATTTGTATAATACGATAGTTCAGTTAATGATTGGAAACAGTAATGATATTGAATTCCTATAACTTAAGAGTGCCATTTAACAGCAAAAATCATAAGATTCATTCATTTGAGATATTTTACTTGTATAATATGAAAGTTCAGTTAATCATTGGAAACAGGAATGATATTGAGATAATAATATTAACAAAAACAGACTACAAATATGAACAGAACCCAATTAACTTTGTCAAGAAAATACCAAATTTTTCATCTTAGGTATAGCTCCACTTACTAAGTTTGTGGTTGTATCCACGTGTAAGATGTATAAAGTCGTTTCGATTTTTAAGCATTGTATTGTTATTATGCATTCAATTCGATTTTATCGAGCCCTTTTCAAGCCTTTCTATTCGAGTCGCACAAGCTCCTGATGATACACAGATTTATATATATATTTTCCACACACGTTGCTACTAAATAATTAATGGATTTGTGCTTTTTGGAGCTTGAATCATTATTTTGTTGATTAAGCTGTGAATATTAATGCTCAAATGTTTCATCACAAATAGTCCCTTTTATTAAATCGTATGCGAAATGTCCGCTTAAAGCAACAATTCTGCGCTTATTGCTTGACAGCTTGACGGGCATATTGAAGCTAAAACAGCTCGTTGTGCTTTTATGGTCAATCAATTAGGCGTCCGAGCATGCACACTCAATTCCGATGCTCATTCAATTGGATTTTATTGAGTCTTTAATTGGTGCCATGCATGTGTGTGGCACGCAGCGCGTGGCATGAAAAGCATAACAATTGCAGCATCATTTGCTGTGCGGACTATCGCATAATTGGCGGCCCAATTGCTATAAACAAAACAACGCTGCGATTGCGCACATAAAATGCATGCACCCACATATTCACACATACACACACACACGCACACACAAGTAGATAAATGCAATTAACGAG